GCTGACGATACCGAGCATGACGATGGCATTTCTCAGCTGGTACGTAATGTAGAGAAGCGGATTTCTTAGTGATAGAGAGTTGAAAAGGCTAGAGAAAATGAGACAAGATGGTAAAACACCATTGTATAAGGATTATTCAGTGAGCAAATTAAAAGCCGACGTCATGCTATTAGAGTTCAACGTCCTGTTTGTTTGGGCTTGTTTGGCTTATAAGCCATACTTTTTCAGCCAACGAACAGTATTGTTCTCTCACACCAAATCAGCCAACAATACTTTCAGCCATGGCTTATCAGCCAAACAAGCCCAAATGAACATGGCGTAAATCTACAAACGGATTGAGCGATAAAGGCTTCGATCAGTTGGTAGGTAGAATAAGGAAACTGCTCAAAAAAATGAGTTGCCAGAAAAAACATACCTGGCCAAGCAAATGTTCTACCCATCGGCCTCGAGGTTGAAAAAATCAACAAGTGTTCAAATGATTGCATATTGTATCATGGGGACGAATACAAAGACCTGAATGTGTACCCCAAATGTGAATCTCCATGGTACAAGGAAGGGCCATAAGACGATGACATTCGTGCTAGTTGTTATATGAATTCATGCGTGGAGAGTGAAGCGGTGTAATTCATGTATGGCGAGTGAAGCAGTGTAGTCGTTCAGGTAGTTCTTGCAATGCACGAAAAGCGAAGTATGGCAGGGCCATTAAGGAATGCAACACAACACTGGAGCAGTAGAGTAGCCTTGGTTGTTTCTCTCTCTATATATATATATAAACAATAAAAGAAGTAGCCTTATGCAGTTTGTATCCTCGATCTCTTCATCGTCTCTATAAACCTATGTGTATAATATCATGGACGAGTTTTTCATGCATGGACTAGTTCTCTCTCCTTTTCTTTTCCCTTTCTCGCGACCAACAATTCAGATATTGGAGCAAAACAAATAAATCACTCATCAACACAAGAAGTTGTTGCGGCACTGCGCCTTTGGAGCTATGTTATTGCTACCGAAGATAGTGTCTAGTGGAAGCGGAGGTGCCGCTGAACCATTATTCGCATTGATGGTTGGAATAGGCTCAACTATGGAAATATAGAAACCAAAATGAAACAGATGAATTAGCAGTACAGGCGCTATTTTAAGTGAAAATGTAAGAGAAGAGGTAAGATTTGGTTGGTCTTTGGTCTTTGGTTTGGAAATCCCATTTGGTCTTTGGTTTTTTACGTGAGAGGAAAACACTATTATTTATTTTTGTTTGATTTGGTTGAAACCAACCAGCGAAGATGCTGTTAGAAGAAAGCTTACAGGAGCACACCGTGAAGGTCTTTAATGGTACGATCACGCCACACTGGACAGGGAGGATGGCTCGGAACATATTGATGGGTGGATACTGGGTGACTCTTCCAAGATCGCTGTACATAACATGGCAGAGACTGATGATTGGTGAAGAATTCCCAGATCAATCAATGTCTAGAAGCTTATGTGTAATTGTCTTAATTTTTTTCGTTTCATTCTTTGTCTCCTAAAGGGAGTTTGTATGAATTTTTACTCTTTTTTTAATAAAAGCTCTCTAGGGAGCGATCCCTCCTGTTTACACTAAAAAAATGATTGTTGAAGAATTCACGACTGACTTGAAGCCATCACAGAACCGCGTCTTTGTGTCGATGGAGCCATGTTGCTGCTATTGGTTAGGAAATCAAGACAACAGAACATGTTGCAGAGTGGCATGAACGCTGCGGCCGGAGGGAGGAGGGGACTGGACAAGGGAGGAATCTTCGGCATTAGTGGAAGTCGTGGACGCGGTGGTGGAAGTCTTGGACGCGGAGACAGGCGGTGATTAGATTTAGGAAGGGCAGGAGTGACACAGGCTTGATCGCTTGCTCTACTCTGATGCTGCACTTCAGACTACATTTCGGGCGAATGTTTAGTAGTCCGCCATCGTCCTTCGGCAATTGGAACTTGTTTCGCGTGTCCGAAAAAGAGAAGAAAAATAGGTAGACAGGTAAAAGTACGAGAAGACAACACACGTTCCCAAAGAGAGAGGAGAGCAGCATCTTTGCTGCTCTTTTTTCTAGATAGCAGCAGTTAGCAGATGAAGGTTCTTTAGATGAAGATAAAAGACAGGTATTACAAAAGATTCGATGGACGGTGCCAGATGTGGCGCGGTGGCAGTCGGCGGCAGCGCGGTCTCCTTTTTGCCGGCGCACAAGGCCGTGCGATCGTGTGAGCTCGTCACCATCACCGGCCCTCGTATGCAGCGTCACCGGCCGCCGACGCCTTGTCCATGGACATCAATCAGCCTGTTCGGTTGGCTGTTTCGTTTCATTGTTGGTTCGTAAAGAAATACTACTGGTTGGTTTATGTAAGAGAAAAATACTGTTTTGATTGAAAATTTACGATCGTTTATGACAAAGTACAGCCAAACGAACAGGTTGAATGTTGACGCGCCCGGAATGGGTTGGCTTCACGATTGTTTGGATCGAGAGCTAAGGAACACACCTGGCCTGGGCTAGGCAGCTCCTCCGGACCTCTGCTATTGGTGAGGAACTCAACACAGGAGAACATGTGGGAGAGCGGCGTAATGCAGTCCGCCGGCGGCGGAGGTGCACCTAGTACGCCACTTTGGCCGAAGGGAGAAGGGAACTGGGTAACGGGAGGTAGCGGAGGCATTGGTGGGAGTCACGGACGCGGATGCAGGCGAGCTCGGAAAGGAGTTGGTGTGGCCGGAGAGACGGCTACAACCAAGGCGATTAGGAAGAGCAGGAGTGAAACAGGCTTCATTGCTTGCTGTGCTCTACTCAGCCACACTTCAGACTGCATTGCTAATCTTATACAGTCCGCCCGCCATTGTCCTTCCTTACCCGGGGTTGAAACTTGTTTCACGTGTCCGAAGAAAGAGAAGAAAAATAGGTAGCCAGGTAGTAGTAGAAGAAGAAGACAGTTATCAGACATTCAGACGTTACCAAAGCTCTTTCTTCTGCAAATAGCAGTTAGCTTGAGTTGCACTGAATGTAACTTGAGCTGGGCTGAGCTAACATGTGCGACTGTGCTAGATGAAGGGGGTTGTGCACTTGTTTGGATCGAGAGTTAAGGAACACACCTGCCATGGCCTAGGCAGCTCCTCTAGACCTCTGCTATTGCCCAGGAACTCAAGACAAGAGAACATGTGGGGAGAGCGGCGTAATGCAGTACTCCGCCGGCTGCGGGAGTGCACCTAGTACGCCACGGTGTCCGCAGAGAGGAGGGAGCTGAGTAACCGGAGGAAGCGGAGGCATTGATGGGAGCCACAAACGTGGAGGCAGGCGAGCTCGGAAAAGGTGTTGGTGTGGCCGAAGAGACGGCCACAACCAAGGAGATTAGGAAGAGCATGAGTGAAATGGGCTTCATTGTTTGTTCTGCTCTACTCTACTGCACTTCATACTGCATTCCTAATTTTATACAGTCCGTCCGCCATCGTCCTTCCTTACCCTGGATTAGAACTTGTTTTGCGTGTCCGAAGAAAGAGAAGAAAAACAAGGAGTCAGGCAGTAAAAGACGACAGTTATCATACTTTCATACATTACCAAAAAGGCAAAGCTCTTTCTTCTAGAAATAGAAGTGAGTTGTAATGAATATAAGGGGGTGTTTGGTTTACTCTTCACCTCCTAAATCTAGTCTTATTTAGGCCCCGTTTGGCAGGGCTTCTCCAGCAGCTTCAGGAGCCGTTTGGAGCCGTTTTCTGCCAAACGGGGTAAAATGAAACGGCTCCACAGATGAAGCCCCTAAAAACGTGCTCTCACAGAGCTTTGGGGTGGGAAGGAGCCAAAAATAGTGGCTTCTCCCGGCTCCTCCTCCAGGCCCCTAAAAACATGCTCTCACAGGGAAGCCATTTTGCCAAACGGTTTACCAAAACCGCTTCAGCTCCACCGATGGAGCTGTTCGTGGAGCTGAAGCAAAAAAAAAATGGCTTCACTAGTGAAGTGAAACCCTGCCAAACGGGGCCTTAGTCACTTTTTACCCAAACATTTTGACTAAATGAGACTAAAAGGGCTTTAGCCAACTAGTCACTCAAATGTTGCTAAATGGGACTAAACCTCACTTTTTAGTAAGATTGTCTCACATTTTAGTCACTTTGGAGTCAAACACCCTGACTAAAACCCTTTTAGTCTCTTTTAATCCACCAAACCAAATAAGAGTGACTAAAGTTTAAGAGCTGATTTAGGTGACTAAATTTTAGAAGGCCCAAACCAAACATGCTCTTACTTGGGCTAGGCTGAGCTAACACATGCGATTGTGTTAGAGGAAGGGGATTGTGCGCTTGTTTGGATCGAGAACTAAGGAACACACCTGACCTGGGCTAGGCAGCTCCTCCGGACCTTTGATTACCAGTGCCTGGCCTAGATCCACTTGTAATTATTAGTCGGGTCATTTTCCGCTTCATTATCAAGGAATACCTCCAAATTAGGCGTATTGACGAGTGACGACGGAGGTGGGAGGTCAGTTGACGACGAGAGGAGCGTTGGACACGGCGGCGGCTGCGGTTGGGACGTGTCAATCCCATCAAAGCCGATCAACGACGCGGCGAAGCAACAGGGAAGCGGCAACATGGACCGGAGCGGCCGCGGTTGAACGAACCGAGACACAGGCGCCTACCAGGCAGGATCAAGCTAAACCGGACCATGCAACGCAACGCCGCCAAGCCAAACAAAAACCCGGGTCAGCAACGGACGCGCAAGGCGATTAGCAAAAGGGCCCACCAGCTGGCACCATCCAGACGCCGGGCCACCACCACGTTCCCGACGCGGTTCGCCGGAGGGCCACCCGGAGAAAGCACCAGGAAGCATCATCAAACACCCCCGTTCCTTTCTTTCCCTTCCCCTTCCCCTTCCCTTCTATAAAACAACCTGTCCTGACGGACCCGTCCATCGTCCATCCGTATTCCCGTCACGTCTCAACCCCCCGAACCCGAAGCAGCGAGAGCTCCCCTGACCCTCGCCCCGCCTCCGATCGCAAGGAAGAAGAGGAAGATGAGCTACTACGGCCAGCAGCCCCCCGTCGGCGTCCCGCCGCAGCAAGGTGCGGCGCCGGCTCTTCCCGTCTTCGATCTGTCTGCTTTATTTATCATCCAAATAACCTTTGTGTTTCTTCGCTTACTCCCCGTGCCTAATTATCTTTGGCGTGTGGATCTTGATTTCTCCAGGCTACCCGGGGAAGGACGGCTACCCGCCAGCGGGGTACCCACCGGCCGGCTACCCCCCGCCGGCGCAGGGCTACCCGCCGCAGGGCTACCCGCAGCAGGGCTACCCGCAGCAGGGCTACCCGCCGCAGTACGCGCAGCCGCCTCCACAGCAGCAGCAGAGCAGCGGGCCTTCCTTCATGGAGGGATGGTACGTTCTTCCTCCTCCCCGTCGTCTCCTCCACTTTTGTGCCGCTGCGCAGCCGCCGCCCTGGCTTGCTCATAATATGTTGCTAGATTGGAGTGTCACCGAAATTTCCTCGCTGTTAAATCGGGGCTAGTTTAGAGAGTGGGCAGCTTCGTTCGGGTCACCGGCCAAATCCGTCCGGGTCCGGCGCCGCTGCCGCCGGCTGTGGCGGTCGTGCTGGTGCGCACGTTTGCCGCTGGGGGTGGGGGCCTTGACTTGACGCGTGAACCACCCTTGGAAAAGGGAGCCGCCACCCTCGTGGGTCGTGGCCTTGCCGTGGCGACGTGTCGGTTGATGCACGCAAAGTGTCCCAGACCGTCTGATCTGAGACTGGCGGTCCGGATTGCTAGCCTCGGCTGCCGTTTCACATGGTTTTTGGCTGTGCTCGGCCCTGTCGGTGGAGAGAGCTATCCAACGGTTGGGTTGCTGTCAGTGTGAAAGCCCTCAGACTTTGAGATTCCCTCGGGGCGAGGTTACCTGAGATTTGTTCTCCCCTTGGTTGAATGGATAACATATACTTCATTCGTCTCAAATTATAAGACGTTTGATTTTTTTAAATTCAAGTTTGACCACTCATCTTATTCAAAAAATTTGCGTAAATATAGTCAAATTTAAATCATTCTCGAAGAACTTTTATTAATAAACCAAGCCATGACAAAAAAAGTGATATTTTGCACAAAATTTTGAATAAGACGAGTGGTTAAACTTGGTGCCAAAAAAGTCAAAGGTGCTGTAATTTGAGATGGATTAAGTACTTTATTTGACGCGCTAATACCAATGAGATAGATGATGCTTGATGCTCTAGAAGTTGTACTTACATAATCACAATTGGAAATCGGAATGTTGCAATGGATGGTTAGGCATTTGGAGTTGGACGAAGCATGTTACATCATGTTAAAGCTCATCATAGTGATCTTTTGTGCATTTTAATAAACGCATATTCTAGAACGGGAATATATGCTCTCTTTGGATGCACCTTTATCTAATTGTTTGCTTGAACAGCTTGGCTGCCCTCTGCTGCTGCTGCCTCCTGGACGCCTGCTTCTGAGAGGAGGACCCATCCGACGGATTCAACACGACTGCAAGCGAAACTACTAGCTTATGGAAGAGCTAGCGTGCTTCTAGAGCTCTGTCCTGCCTTATCGCCCACCTTTTTTTTTCTGTTGTGAGACTACTAGTACTCTGTCGATGTTGATTGGATCAGACTAGGCTGGTGTGTATTCCGCGGATGTTCCGTGTTTCTGGTGGAATTCAACCCTGGGATTATTCTCTATCTGCCACCTGGAATATATATCTGCGGCGCGTTAGCCGCCGGGTCTCCCTCGCTTGACTGTTACTCTGTTACTCTGTTGCTGAGCACGTTTGACTGGCGCAATTTATTCGGATCGAGTTATTTTGACCTCGTGCCTTGTTAGAAAAATCACGGTTGGGTCGCTATTTCGTGCTTGACTTCCGCCGTTGTTGCGTGAGGGCGTGAGGCATGGCATTTGCTCCCTGGCCTGCTGGACCGTTGGACACGTTCAGTATAATAACAGTGACCACGTCTTGTTGTAGACAGAGGGCAGTCCGTTAAACGCGTTCAGTATAATAACAGTGACCACGTCTTGTTGTCGACAGAGAACAGTTCACTTTGGTAGGGGCCTTTGCCAACTCAGGCTATCTTCAATAACAACATTTAAAATATAAAACTTATTCGTCCTTTAGATAGCGCTATATGTAAAAGATTCAATACATATTCGGCATCTTCTCTAGAATTCTTTCTGCAAATAGGTTTTCAGGAGAGAGGATGCTCATATTTGGGTTGTGCCTCTCAGGCAACCCAAAATAGGTCTCCCGTATAAGTACTTTATTGGAGGCTGATTCTCTTGCTATCTATTTTAGATTTGGATGTCTATATAGGTTCCTTGTTGAAGACAGTCTCACGAGTTTGGCACAGGCTTGCACAATGTTTTGTTGCGAATTTTGAACTGCAAAAAGGGAGGGATCATCGATCATGACTGCAAAATGAAAAGCTTTGGATAGGAACTTTAAAAAGAAGGAAGAAAGATTTGGGTAGACCACGTCGCTGTGTTGGTAGACGCTTTAAAATCACCCCCCAAATGCACACGGCACTCCTTTAATCACCTCAGCGATGCTATGCCCTTGTCGTTCCTCGTTCTTTTGCTTGGTATAGATATCCATCGTCTTTCGCTTTTGTGTCGCTTAAAAATCAGTGGATGAAACTCTGTAACACGGACCTTTCGCTTTTGTGTCGCTAAAAATTAGTGGAAGAAACTCTGTAACACGGACCTTCTTCGGTGTCTGTTGTGGACGAGTCTTGACGTTCAAGACTCTTAAAATCTGCACCTTCAGTCCTTCACGTCTCCGTCCAAGGAACTCGTACAATATACTGTAGATGAATCAGGGCTACTTGTACAAACCAAGCGAGTTTTTTCTTTAGCACGGTTTGGCAGCAGCTGCGGGAGCCGTACCTGCCTTCGTCAGTGACGAGGATTCATCCGTGGATGCGATTGGTCTCCAACCGCCTGCCGGTTGCCGGCTCCGAAACACCGCGCCCATGTGCGATCCGCATCGTCGGAGACTTCGGCCCTGTACGCTTGACTTACCTTTTCAATAAAATAATAGTATTTTTCTCTCACAATAAATCAATATCAACGTTTTTTAGTCAGCCGAACATGGCCTTCGCGTAGATAGATAACAAGAAGCATTGCATGTACAGTCAATCTCACGCTCCACAGCCTACATTCACACCACAGGCCAGGCCAAGGCCAACTGCACATCACCCCCACCTTAGCAAAGCTCTTGCCGTCTTCGGCAAGAATCCGAAAGCTACATGCGTCTTTCTTTCTTCCATGATAAGAATTAAAGAGTACAGCTTGGGTAAGCACTCATCGTCTGGCAGGTGGCAGCTCACCCGTATGGCCGTATACTTATCAGGATGCTACACTAGTGCAACAATTCTCTTATAATATGTCTTTTTTAACTTGTTTTTTTTAGCCGAAACAGTATTTTTCTCTTACAACAAAATTGTGCTAGAACAACAAAATGGTGCTAGAAACTGTGACCCTCAGATCTGAATTCTGAACCCGAGGCGGCCTTTGGTGCATCGTGTGGACCCTGTGTTCCAGCACTTTGATGTTGATTTCTAGTATTTCTACAGCCGCAGCATGCAGGTCTCCATCGGAGAGAAGAGAAACCCTTTGCAGACGGATCGGGCCATGTTTGCGCTTTGCCTCATGACGATGTGATGCAGCGCAATGCACACCTTCTACTCGGTGTTGTGGTTGGGCAAGTTAAAGAACGTAACCTAAGTTCTGAAATCTGCAGTCAATGTGATTCCTAATTTGCTTCTGTCACCTTCTGCATTCTGGCGCTGCATCATGTGGCTGGTTCACTCACTCTCATGGAATGGAACCTTCGTCCATGAATTCCATCGGCACCAAACTTCTTGCCGATTCTTCGTCCCATAACAAGGCCATAAGTACCTGACGCAGACACACATCTGCAGCATGTGCAGTCCATATGAGTGTGTTTGGTTCACTTCCCCACCAAGCCTGGCTAGCAAAAATAACCCAGGCTACCTGTAGCCAGCTTTAGCTAATGCAATCAGCACTTATTTGGTTGTTGTGTCTAAGCAAGCCTGGCTTGGCCAGATCTTGTTTGGTTGCCAGACTAGTTCCAGTGCAGTCACCTCTTCTTTGCTACGGTGAGTTCACCTCCATGTTCTCTGGTCCGGCAGTGGCGGAAAAGGATGAATCGACGGCGGAGAAGGCCGATTCGACAGCAGGGAAGGAAGATTGGATGTCGCGGAAGGTCGATTCGGCCATGATAGAAGTCGATTCGACGGCGGAGAAGGCCGAAACGGCGGCGGTGGAGCGGGTGGAAGCCCAGTAGGGCGCGCCGGCGCCGGATCCGCCGCATCGTCGGAGTCCGGCGGCAGGTCGCCGCCGCGGAGAAGGAGGATCTCACGTGCCACGCCCCTGCGGTCGGCGGCTGGCGGCCCGAGCACGGACAAGATGGAGGAACGCGGCCGGAGGAGCGGCCCGAGCGGAGAAGATGGAGCAGCAGCGGCCGGAGGAGCGGCCTGAGCACAGAGAAGATGGAGGAGCGGGCGGATGCGAGGAGGAGCGGCGGCACGCGTACGTGCGAGGTGATGAGAGCACGGAGGTGAGGGAACGCTGGCTCAAGCCTGGCTTCGCGGAAACGTTCCAGCAAGCCACCCCTGAACCCCTCTTTTGGCTTCCCAAAGCCTGCTTTAGCAGCTACACAAGCAACCAAACACCAAAAGGCTACATTATGGGAGCCTGACTAGCCCCTAAGCTACCCAATCAAACACACCCACGAAAAAAAAAAGGCTCTGACCTCAGCTAATGAATAAAGCATCGCCGATGTTATGATATCACCATCACACGCTACTGATGTTCTCCTTGATTTGCTCTTTGTACGGGAAAAAGAAGTAGAAAAGCCTTGCCTTTGATCTCAGCAGAACAAAGCCATTATCAGAATAAGTAATTCCACTTTTGAACCTTAATTAAAGACAACCAAACTCTTGGTTGGCAGCAAAACTAGGAAACCTGTCAGTCCAGCTGGCGGATAGCAAAGCCGCCTCTTTTTTGCAGACCCACACACACGGGAAAAAAAGGTAACCTATCTTTTATTCTTTACTGATGCACACAGTGGGGCCGTTCGCTGGTCTTATCAGACCAGCCAGTCGGCTGATCCCCTCTTAATTTACTGTTCATCTAACCAGTCAAACAGTATTTTTCTCTCACAACAAACCAGCCGAAACAGTGTTTTTTAGCCAAATTTCAAACCAGCGAACGGGGCCAATGAGTGATCAGCCAGAGATGATACTATACAAAAACTTCATATTTCTTTGTTTTCGTGGATACTAGTGAAAGGCGTGCGCCCTCGTGCGCATATGGAGTCATAGGGAAAATTTTAGACATGATAAATATATATTTAGGATGTATGTGTGGTGACTAATAAGTTACATAGATATATATTTAGGATGTATACATTACATATGTTGTTCAAGTCTTCAAAGAGCCGACGAAGATGCATAGAGATATATTACATGTGCTGATAGTTTGTATGTTACATTCGGTGGGTTTGTGCAGCTGCTGATGGCTTCATGTGGTTCTTGTCAATATCTTGGCTAATGATCCGAGTGGTCAGTGGTAAATGAGCCTGCACTTTGCCACCCGGATGAGTCTGTGCATGTATCATATACCACATTAGATGTACGTAGATAGAATGGAAGAGTGTTGAAGTATTAGAAAAATAATGTTTCACCTGGATTTTATGGTAGCCATTAGGTGACCTGCGACACAGCGAATATGTGATAAGATAGCTAGGTGTCTGATATTCTGTGGGATAGAAGAATTAGTAGATCCTGAAAAAATGTGACGAAATGTGGTTGGGACTTGTTTATGATAATAGGCTGCATTCATTGTCATCACCAATTTGTTTCTATGAACCTGTTACGGTCCAAATATTTGCACAAAAGGCTAACAGAAGCAAATTTATAAGACTGGCAAGTGAAAATAGCAAAAAACATTCCATTGTCATCACCAATTGGTTCTTATAAATAGTATGAAATGTATCCTATCATATGACTTCTGTTTGTTGGGTTGATCTACAATTTTTCTGTAGTACCCAGTTCCAAATAGTACGAAAATGTTCTAAAACACGCATCTAATGTTTATAAAAGAAAGAGTTAAATACACCAGTGGTCCATAAACTTGTCATGATGTGCCATTTAGGTCCACAAACTTTGAAAATACATTTTTGAGTCCTTAAAGTTGTTTGTTGCTACACCTTAAGTCTATATCCTCCATGTCAGCACATTTTGCCTACATGGAATGGACAACATGGACACTGATGTCGACACGTCGTCGTCGTGTATCCCTCTGCTATCGGTCTCCCCACCGCAGCACAGTTCTCCCTCTCGCCTCTTCGCGGACCAGCTCCACCGCACGCTCGGTCACGATCTCCCGGTCCCTCCTTCTCAAGCGATCACTTCCGCCATCTGCTCGGCGTCGGCGC